GGTGAGAAGGGACACATGCCAGGATCTCGGTATGCCTGACACGTGTTACGCATGCAGTCAGCCCACAGCGGTAGAGCAGCGCCCACGCGTCACGATATTCCTGCCTGGCCACTAAGCCGCGCAGCCGAGTCAAGATCAGGGATCTAGGTGTAATTCTTTGAGTGGACCTAATTGGGTCGATCGTCTAGACCTCACTGGGTTGGAGCCGATCTTAAGATGGGGTGAAGGCTCATGTTGACTAGTGCATTTGCTCGGCCTTCGCATTTAGGTATGGTCGGTCAAACATGTGGTCGGTCAAGGTCAGGAACGGTTCCCCACAGTGACTAAGCTTGATACTGAGCAGGTATGAGGACGTATACTCGGAGAATATTCCCCATTAGACGTAGATTTGTTCTATATATATATATATATATATATATATATATATATATATATATATATATATATATATATATATATATATGTGTGTGTGTGTGTGTGTGTGTGTGTGTGTGTGTGTGTGTGTGTGTGTGTGTGTGTGTGTGTGTGTGTGTGTGTGTGTGTGTTTGTGTGTGTGTGTGTATAATTAGGTTCAAATGCGGTTGGTGCGCCCAGGTGCGATTGTGCAGTTAAATCTGAGCTATTGATATTGCTTAAATCAACGTCCAGGATTACCAAAATTAAAAAAAAAATGCGGTGGCAATTTGACAATTTTTGCATATAGGTCAAATTTAAGGTGTGTGGTTTCCTTCTTAAGGTGTGTGGTTTTTGTGCTTAAGGTGCGTGTGTTGTGTGCTTAATGTGAGTATTTGTTGAAACTTAATTAAGGTGCGTGATTTTCCTTCTTAAGGTGCGTTATTTTTGTGTTTAAGGTGCGTGTGTTTTGTGCTTATGGTGCGTGAGTTTTGTGCTTAATGTGAGTAGTTGTTGAAACTTAAGGTGCATGATTTTCCTTCTTAAGGTGTGTTGTTTTCCTTCTTAAGGTGCGTGATTTGTATGCTTAAGGTGTGTCAGTTGTGTGAAACTTAAGGTGAACCATTTTAAAACCTTAGGTGCGCGATTTCTGTTCTTAAGCTGTTTTGTTGTGTGCTTAAGGTGCATGATTTGTGTACTTAAGCTGTGTGGTTTGTGTTCTTAAGATGCTTTGTTTGTGTGCTTAAGATGCGTGGTTTGTACGTGTACTTAAGGTGCGCCATTTTAATTCTTAAGGTGCGTCAACCGCCCCTCCGCACGGGAGCCCTTCCCCGCACATGAACTCATATATATACTAGTGATCAAATGAGTCCATCCTGTTATATGAGTCCATGTGGACAGATATGAGCCATTGAATGCTATATATGAGCCATTGAATGCTTGATATCAATGGTTTAAATTTCACCAACGTAACTGTTTAACGCAAACTGTGCAAGTGAAGTGCACAGTTGCACAATTGGCAAAATCTAAGCCATTGATCTCAAGTATTTAATATGGCCTAGATCTGCCCACACGGACTCATATAACAAGGTGGACTCACGAGAACACTGCATATATATATATATATATATATATATATATATATATATATATATATATATATATATATATATATATATATATATATATATATATATATATATATTCTTAGGATCCTATGAAAACACACCATCAAGATAAAACTAAGAACCAATCTCAGTCTTAAATTTGTAAAAATTAGACGAATCAGATCAAATTTAAAAAATATAACGCGGTGACATTTTTATAATTATCATTGACTTTACGATGCAACTTTTAACACTATACTCTACACTTTTTTAACAACTAACTGTGTATTTCTGGATAACTTTTTAAAAATCAATGAAAAAACTAAAACTTAAACATAAATCATAAATGTTAAATCTTAAAATGTAAAAAGTGGACCCTTAAATCAAATATAATAATAATAAAAAAAAAACTCATAACTCTAAAATTCAAACTTTAAGTGCACTGCACTTTTGCATTAATTTGCAAAATGTTAATTTTTAATACTAGACGTGCATTTTGTAACAAATAAATGTGCATTTTTGAAAAATTATGAGAAGTGCAAAGTATAGCGTTCTAAATAGTTGGTTATAATTATATTATGAAAATATATGTCACCGCGTTTGAAAAAGAATTGATATGATCTGTTTGATTTTTTGAAATGTAAGACCGAGATTATTGATTCTTAAATTTTTTTTTTAAATAATTTGTTTTGATTTGATCTAATACCTATTTTACTATTTTAATGATGGAAAAGGAAAAAACAAAGAAAAAAAAAACAATAGTGACCTATTTTCTTCCGTGGCTAAAAACAAGAAGCTCCCTTGCAACTTCCCTGCTACGCATATATTCTTTTTTTCTCCATTATTACTCACGTTGGCTTACTTTGAACAACGAACGAGCCTCAACAGTCAAAAAGCATTTGTTTAAGGAATTGAAAAACGGGGATTTTGCATTACTATAAATTGATCAAGCATTCAGCTTGTCGATATGCTGTACAAGAACATAGTAGGATAATACAAAACCAAGTAGAGTAGCTAGCTGGAAATGATGGAGGGCCTTAATCTTAAATCTTTCAGCTTTGTTTTACTCGTAGTTTTAGTCAGTAGCTTGGGTGTTGTGGGTATGGTAGAAGCTCGTCCCCTCAGTATCTTGAAGATCCACGGCTCCGCCGGCGGCGGCGGAGGAAATGGGTGGACATTGAAGTGCTTAACTGATGATCTAGCGTCTGTCAAGGATAGACCCAGTCCTGGCATAGGCCATGCATTTCCCGGCGACGGAGGAATTAAGTATTCCGGTCCAAGTCCCGGCGTCGGGCACAAGTATACTACTGGTGTTCGAGACTGATCGACTTTTGATGCATATGCAGAAAACTATGATTTAAGACTTGAATAATGTACGTGAATGCACACTGATATATTATTTTATAATGAGTTGGTTTAATGTAAAATGTTGTTAGTTTATTGTATTGTGAACCCCAAGAATCCACTAGATCGCTCCTCTTGAAGTTTTGTTCTTCCTTTTTGTTAATTAATGTGTAAGTATATGTCATATAGTATGTATTTTGTAGTTGAAATTGTTGAATGAATATTATACACTTGAAAACCTCAATTATGTTAAAGGGTCAATTGTGTTATCTAAACACATGAATTTCTAAGTGCCGCTTATTTTCGGTTTACACACTAGGGAAGAGCCTACCAATTGTTCAACCACTTTAGAATTGCTCTTACAGTCCGTTTGGAAATCCGTAAAATGATTTTAGAAAAATGTTTTCTGGAAAATAAGTTATATTTCAAAATATATTTTCTTTTCCGGTGTTTCCTTGCAAAACGGAAAACTGTCTTTGTGTGTTTGATTTATTTTCTAGAAAATGAGCAAGAAATTAAAATGAACAGAATTATATACTTCAACATTTTAATTGTTTGATACTTTTGTAAAATACTTCAATGAATAACACTAAGCCTTGAGGATAATTTTGAATGTGTGTGTGTGTATATATATATATATATATATATATATATATATATATATATATATGCATAGATACTGTATGCATAATATATATATATATTATGCATACAGTATCTATCTATAGACCGGAGATACTATAGACTGTGAAAGGAGAAGCAGAAGAAATGATGTGAGGAGGAAGAGTTGGAAAATGACTTTAAAAAAAAAAAAAAAGTCATTTTCTCCCAAAACATACTTATTTTTCTTTGACTAAGACATCATTTTCCCGCCTCTTGCTAAATACTGAAAACTCGGAAAACATCTTCCGGAAGTCATTTTTCGGGTTTCCAAACGCACCTTTAATCACAAACCAATAATCACCACTGTCCTAGACCAACTATAGCCACTTGAAAACCCCGTGATGTGAGTCAAATTGTGCATATTTTCTAATAATAGTTTGAATATATTTTTAGGCGTAAGTTCATGATTTTTATAGTTTAATTGCATTTTCCTTTGTTTTATCATTTAGTTATGGTTCACACTTGTTTTGAATGTTTTACGGTGTTTGTTAGTGTTTTTGAACCATTATAGGTCAATTCTATAAGCAAGAAAAATTCTAGGACAAATTTGGAGTCAAAATGGACCAAAGGGCATGTACACAGCAAGTTCGACGCATCCAAAAATTTTAGTGAGCATTTCGGCTAAAGAACATCGAAGTTGCGCTGAAGAAATAAAGGCGTTGTGCGTTGATTTAATTTGTGCCGCGCTTTCCAAATTGAAACAAATCAAGATAGGCACTGATTCCCATAAAACAAAAGCAATTTTTCCAAATAATTAAATGAGACCGCAATTTTCCAAAATAAATAAGGGAATTCTTGTATGACTTTTTGAAAATAATTGATTAGTTTTAATTTTCATTCTAAATGGTAGAATCCTTGATACTACATAGTACATAGAAGTAATCTGAATAAGCGTTCTCTCCAAGAAACCATTCAAGATCCCAAGATCAACCAGCTCTGAGAAACCTCGTGTGGCGATGGATTCGCCGGACACCGGCCAAAGCTGGCCACCTGTTCAAGAACTCCTCGAACGCACACCAAAGAAATCCAAGATAACGGATACACAGACTAATTTCCAGACGAACATCCAGTCCCCAGAGATAGTGCCTGAAACACTAGCGTCACCGGAAGAAGGAATTGCGAACGAAGGTATGAAATATCAGCCGTCAACGAGCTACAAGGCAAGTTTACACAACTTCACGCAGTACGGAAATGAATACTCCGAAGCACAAGCGGACGAATCTCTAGACGATGACGAACCAGAAGAAGACGATGACATGCCCTAGAATTAGATTCTCTGAGAAAGAAAAGGAAAGGCTTAGGCGACCTTGGAGGCGCACGCTAATTTTGCACTTGCTAGGTAAGACTGTCGGTTACAATTACCTTCTACGCCGTTTGCAAACTCTGTGGAAGCTAGAAGGCCATCTGGAACTCATAGATTTGGAACAAGACTACTACCTTTCTCGGTTCGAATCCCAGAGGGACTATGACGTCGCAAGGTTTGAGGGTCCTTAGATGTTATTCAATCACTACCTTGTTGTCCAGGAGTGGGTGCCAAACTTCCATCCTCACTCTAACACAACAAAGAAAATCCTAGTTTGGATCCGCCTCCCTGACCTATCGATCGAGTATTTCGATGAGAAAACCTTAAGGAAAATTGGAAACAAAGTAGGCAGGACAGTCAAGATCGACGTTACAACTGGGCTAGCCACTCGCGGCAAATTCGCAAGAATTTGTGTAGAGGTTGATCTAACAAAGCCCCTATTGGCCAAGTTCACGATCGAAGAAGATGTACTACCTATAGAGTACGAAGGCATTCACTGGATATGCTTTATATGTGGCACCTATGGTCACAGAAAGGAGCAATGCGGCCAAGGTTCAGAATTCGATAGGCAGGCCATGGGCAACCACATGGAGGTTGATGCTGGGATTGGAAAAGCAAATGATGCGGAATATGAACCAGCGATGACCAAGCAATTACCAGTCATCAAACCACACGCTACTGAGAAATTTGGTAACTGGATGTTAGTGAAAAGGAAAGACAAGAGGCCAAATAAGAGGGGGAGTTCAGAAGCAAGCTAGTGCAGGAATAGAACGAGAACCCACCATTAACAAGGTCTATAACAACCAACTCTTCGCCACCCGATTTGCTCCTCTAGGAGAGATGGAAGGGGAGGCGCTTGTCGAGGTAGGAAGTGGGAAACCTAGCCCGCACGTGCCGGAACAAAGAGATGTTGAGAAGGAACCAGTAGGGTACCAGAGGACTAAGGACCATTCGTCGCCTCTGCTATCGCCAACTGGAATCCCACATATGATTAGGACACAACACGCTCCAATTGCTAGAGGGCGAGGGGGCAGAACAGGTACCACAAGGAAGGCAGCCGTGGAGACTGAACACATCGTGGTTAGGGGCTCGACAAGGGGCAGAGTAATTACGCGGACTGTGGTTCAGCACTGGAATATGGTCAACAGGTTCTACATCGACACCTAGACGCAATGCTCAGATCGATGATACAGCAGATTTCTTTGATTGCGATACTCCCAAAGACGCTATGGAAGATGATGCAGGGGATAATGGCCAACTTGGCCCGGTTGTGGATCTCCGCAAGCTCGATTGAGCACTCCTTTCTCTCTCTTTTTACCATGAATTTTCTCATTTGGAACTGTCAAGGGGCGGCGTCTAGAACTTTTCGCCGCACACTTAAGCAATATCTTAATGATTATAAACCAGTCATTGCCTGCCTCCTAGAGCCGAGAGTCTCTGGGGAACACGCTAACGACATTTGCTTCGAGCTAGGATTGGACGAATGGCTTCGCATTGAAGCTTTCGGCTTCTCCGGCGGGATTTGGGTGCTTTGGAAAAATACCATTTCGGTACAAGTTGTCCATACACACCCCCAGTTTGTTGTCTTAGGAATCACTGAGGGCAACTCTAGTTCTTGGAACCTGTCAGTTGTCTATGGGAGTCCAGACCATGCTCTCAGAAGGGAGCTGTTTACTGAACTTTCCCATCAAAAGCTGGGCCTCCAAGGGGCCTGGCTATCCGTAGGCGATTATAATTCTGTCTTAAATAGAAATGAAGTTTCCAACAGTGATAATTTCTTGGCTACCCGTTGTGCAGGTTTTAGCAATTGGATGTTCAGGGAAGGATTGATTGATATGGGCTATGAAGGTGCTAAGTTCACTTGGTGCAGAGGCACTAACTCTACGTCTTACAGGGGTTCCCGTCTCGATCGCGCCGTGTGCAATGTGGAATGGAGAACTCAATTCCCGGACGCAGTTGTCACACACCTACCTATGGTCAGTTCGGATCATGCCCCCCCCCCCTACTAGTATGTACTGCTCAGCTAAAGAAGACTGTCAATCCTTGGAGGTTCATGTACAACGCAGCATGGGCCACCCACCCGGGATTTATGGACTTCGTAAAAAAATAACTGGAACTCGAATGTCGAATTGGACCAATGCAAAAATGAGCTAGCAACCAAGTTTAAGCACTGGAATAAAAGGACGTTTGGTAATATTTTTCACAGGAAGAGAAGAGTCCTTGCGAGGTTGGAAGGCGTCCAGAAGAGTTTGTCTCATAATCACAGGGCTGACCTGATCAAATTGGGGGAAAAAGCTCCAGAAAGAGCTGGAAGAAATCTTATTCCAAGAGGAACTTTTTTTGTTTCAAAAATCTCGGGAAGAATGAATTAACTCGGGCGACCGCAACACTAGATATTACCATGCGGCATCCGCGGAAAAGAAGCCCAGAACCAGGATCACGAAGATTAAGAACGAACAAGATGTCTGGCTACTAGAAGAGGATGCAATATTGTCTCATATCAGTGGCTACTTTTCCCAACTGTTTACAGAAGACGTCCAAGGACCAAGGCAGGCTCTCTGGGCAGAATCTTTCCCGACACTTCAGGAATGCGACTGGTAGATGGTATATGAGCCCATCTCGAAGTTAGATGTCAGACAAGCCCTGTTTAATATGGCTCCGCTCAAAGCACCGGGGCCAGACGGCTATCACGTTGGTTTCTTCCAAAAAACATGGTCAGTTGTGGGAGATGATCTCACGAAATTTGTTCTAGCATTTATGGATTCTGGGATACTCCAATAACATAACTCTGATCCTGATCCCTAAGGTTCCAAGCCCAGAAACGGTCAAGCAACTCCGTCCGATTAGTCTCTGTAACACCACGTACAAACTTATCACGAAGGTGCTAACGAATAGATTGAAAGGTGCGATCCAAAAACTGATAGGGACTCACCAGTCAAGCTTCGTGCCTGGTAGACAGATAGCTGACAACATCTTGGTCTACCAGGAGACTCTGAACCTTATGAGGATGAAAAAAGGCAACTTGGGACTGATGGCCCTGAAGATCGATCTAGAGAAAGCATACGATCGCCTAGCTTGGAACTTTATCAAGGAGACCCTCCAGGAAGCTGGCTTCTCCCAAAAATGGATTACAATCATCATGGTGTGCGTCACAACATCAAAACTAGCCATCAGTGTCAATGGAAAGCAGTCAGACTGGTTTAAACCAAGCAGGGGCATCCGCCAAGGAGACCCAATATCCCCGTTACTCTTTGTCCTCTGTATGGAGCGTCTAAGCCACCAAAACAACGAAAAGGTCAACTCTGGAGAATGGAGAGGCATTCAAATGGCCAGAGATGACCCATGGGTTACCCACCTACTATTCGCAAACGACATGGTGTTGTTTGGAGAAGCAACTCCCCAGCAAGCCCATACCATAAAGCAGTGCCTTGATGCCTTCTGCAATGCCTGGGGACAACGCGTAAACTTTAGCAAATCATCCCTCTACTTCTCCAACAACACCGACCAACATGTCCAGCAAACGATTTCGGCGCAGCTAAACATTCCTAAGTCAGACAACCTTGGTAGATACTTGGGGGTACCCTCTTTACATGGAAGACTAAAGCAGGAGTCCTTCGATGGGCTGATCCACAGAATTAGAGGCAAGCTAGAAGGCTGGAGGATGAAGACATTGTCATTTGCCGGAAGAAGAACACTTGCACAGTCAGTCCTATCGGCTATTCCCCTATACCTGATGCAAACCATGCTACTTCCAGTAGGGGTCACGAGAGCCGTTGAGAGATTGATCCGTGAATTCCTATGGGGAGGTACCGAGGGTGAGAGGAAATGCAGTCTTGTTTCCTGGAAAATAGTCGTGCAAGACAAAGAAGCGGGGGGCTTAGGTTCGGAGCCTAGAAGCAATGAACACTGCCCTAATAGCCAAACTGGGATGGAGACTGCAAGTAGGAGACGACTGTCTCTGGACAAGAATATTCAGAGCTAGATATCGTATTCAAAGCCCAGACCCAGCTACATGGCAAACTCGATCATCCATGTCAAATGCATGGAGGGCAATCCTGAAGGTAGTACCACTCCTAAAGGAAGAGACCAAACCTGTGGTCAGAAACGGCAGGGCTACACTGTTCTGGCTAGACGCGTGGCTTGGCCATCGACCCCTAATTGAAGCAGTAGTTGTTGCTCTACCACTACCAGTTATGTACGCTCGTGTAGCAGATTATTGGAATCACACATCTGGCTGGAAGTGGGGAGAATTAGGGCATCTTCTACCGCAAGAATTGTAGGACAAATTATCAGCAGTAGCTCTGATTAACGATGAGGAGCAACATGACGAATTAGGCTGGGGAGATGATAAGACGGGTACCTTCTCAGTTTCTTCAGCTTACTCAATGATAACAAAGAGTGCAGGAGATACCAACTCACAAGCTTGGAGCAACATATGGAAATTAAAAACACCTAGTCGCATACATACCTTCCTTTGGCTGGCAAGGTTGGATAGATTGATGACTAATGCAAATAGAACCAAGCGTGGTCTAATGGAGGAGCCTAGTTGCGGACTGTGCATCAACACCGAGGAAACAACTGAACACATCCTTCGCTGCTGCCCGCAGGCCATACAAGTATGGGAGTCCATCATGCCAGGAATGCTCCGTGCAAACCATAAAAGATCCTTTGTAGACTGGCTCGACGCAGGTATTAGGGGCTTCAACAGAAGAAACCGACATCACAAAAATAGTGCCTTATTCGCAGTAACACTATGGTGGTTATGGAAGTGGAGAAACGATAGAATCTTCAACAATAAAACAATAGGGATTCACCACAAAAACTACTAGGTCCAAGTCCAAACAGAAGAAATAAACATAGCCTTCGAAAGAGAGAACCTTGCAGGGGCACGACCTTCCTAAAAAAGATGGAATCTGATCAGGTGGAACAAACCTCCCAAGGGGTGGATTAAAGTCAATATTGATGGCAGTTTCAACCCAACCACAGGGCAAGCAGGCTGTGGCGGTCTAGCCAGAAATGAGAAAGGAGACTGGGTTGCAGGCTTCACTCATGGAATAGGTTCTTGCTCTGCAGAAAGCGCCGAAGCCTGGGCCTTGCTTAGAGGCATTCAGCTTGCTCAGACACTCGGTAATGTCAAGGCCTGTTTTGAAAGTGACTCAAAGAGGATCGTTGATGCTTTTTCCTAAGAGACAACAGTAGGGAATGTTGCTAGTAATATCCTCCTCGCATGCAAACAAGAGCTGGGAAAGCTATCCGCTTGGAACCTAAGCTTTGTTCCCAGAGACCAGAATCGTGTTGCAGACCTTCTAGCAAAGAAAGGTGCAAGCCAAAAAGGGACCGTGGTCCTTCACTCTACCCCTGAGGACATTAGGCAACTCCTAGAGGAAGATAAACTCGGGGTACCAATTTGGTCCCAAGAAGATGTACTCCATATGTAGTTTCTGGGTCGCCCCTTCCATTTAGATCTAAAAAAAAATAAAATAAGGGAATTCTGATTTCGTTCCAACTATAAAATCCCACCTTCCTCAACCCTAATATTAAATTAAGAGATCTTTGGAGGCACGAAAGAGGAGAAAATCAAGAGTCATGAGTCGTCTTGGGAAGCAATAAGAAAGCTAATGAGATTTGGGAAAATCGCTTGCTCCATTCTTGTACTCTCTTTGATGATTTGTAATTCTTTAAATATATTTGCTATGTATAATTTAGTCATGCTTGACTAAATTCTTTAGAGGTTCTTGGGTAAAAGTGTTTATGAACCTATGTGCCTAAGCTCTCAAATTCTTTAATATATTATTATTTGGATTTAATACTTGTGTTGCGATTGTGTTTATCATTCTTGTTGCCAGTAGTTTAGGGCCCGAATTACTTGCTTCATAGCTTTGCTTGTGTTACAACGAGAGTTGGACTTAACTTAGGGCATACACAATTGCACATAACTATTGCACCTTAAGAAAGGGTAACTTTGTTAGGGAGTTTAATTATTGATTATTGAACCTATAATTATATATATATATATATATATATATATATATATAAACAATCATATAGGAACCCATCTTTAGGTAGGAACCTAAGAACTCATCTTAGCCCTTTATTTAATATGATCAATGGATTAAATTTAAAGTTGATTTGCTAGATTTTTAGTTATGAAATTATTGTATTTTTAAGAAATTAAGGGTGTTTTGGTCTTTATAATTGAATAATATCTTATCTCTCCTCCGTGTTATTCTCCTAGTTTCCTTCTTATTCTCCTTATCCACGTACAAGTCATCATCATCGTCTTCTCACTGTAGCTTTTCCATACCTTCTCAAATCTTACTCTTCATCTTCAACCTCCACCGCGCAACCCAGAGCTATGACTCACTCCAACGCCGCCGCATTCGAAGCTCTTCTTGTTTAGCCGCCTGAAGGAGAACAATACCCAGGATTCTTCAACATTGGATTCATTAGCTATGTTTTGTTTAATTTCTTCTTTCATGGTTGGGATTCTTGATATATACGAACGTACAAGAATACCCATGACTAGTTGCAAAACTCAAAGATCAGATATGGTTGAATAAAAATTAAAATGAAGACAAAGAGAATATTGATTATTTTTCTCTTTACATATTTCTGTAGATAAATCGTATCTATTGTTTCCCTTGTCCATATAACATTTCACATTATTGATTCCTATTGTTACAGAGGATAAAATTAGAGTAGAGACATATATGCTACAAATCCTATATTTTTTTTTATTATAAGACAAATCCTATATTTCTAAATACTCAGATAAATTACAAAAGATGCTGCCTTGTATTTTGTTTCTGATTCTACAAATTTTGGCACACACAGTGTAACCTAAGTGCACACAAACAAACTAAGTGCATACCGTAATCTATCAACCCAAGTGTACACGAATTTGTTTTCTGTATTTTCATCCACGTACTCACTATTAATGTTATGGCACACACATTTTAACCTAAGTGCACAACATAGTCTTTAACACCAATTTGGTTTTGGTGTAGGTTTTGGTGTATGCACACATTCGTTAACCTAAGTGCACACGGTATTTCGTATATCAATTTTCTTAAGTATCATGGGAAAAACTCATTGACCCAAGTGCACACACAGAACAATCCGAGTACACACCAAAATGTTTAACATCTTTTCCTATCACTACAAGAAAAATGCACATAGACAACGGTTAATAACCGTTGTCGTAGGGGTATAATTTCTGTTGTTGAAGCTGGTGTTGTTGTAAGTCCAGCGCATAGACAACGGTTTTTTAACCGTTGTCTTTTCTAGAAACAACAACGGTTTTTTAACCGTTGTCTATTAAGTGTTGTTGAAGCCGGTGTCGTTGTATGTCACGCACATAGACAACGGTTATTAACCGTTGTCTATTAAGTGTTGTTGAAGCCGGTGTTGTTGTATGTCACGCACATAGACAACGGTTAATAACTGTTGTCTTTTCTAGAAACAACAACGGTTTTTTAACCGTTGTCTATTAAGTGTTGTTGAAGCCGGTGTTGTTGTATGTCACGCACATAGACAACGATTAATAACCGTTGTCTTTTCTAGAAACGACAACGGTTTTTTAACCGTTGTCTATTAAGTGTTGTTGAAACCGGTGTTGTTAAAAGTCATGAACATAGACAACGGTTTTTAACCGTTGTCTTTTCTAGAAAAGACAACGATTTAAGAACCGTTGTCTATTGAGTGTTGTTGAAACCGGTGTTGTTAAAAGTCACGTACATAGACAACGGTTTTTAACCGTTGTCATTTCTTTCAAAGACAATGGTTTTTAACCCGTTGTCTATTCAATGTTGTTGAAACCGGTGTTGTTAAATGTGATGCACATAGATAATGGTTTTTAACTGTTGTCTTTTCTTTAAAAGACAACATTTATAAACTGTTGTCTATTGTGTGTTGTTGAAACCATTGTTGTTAAAAGTCACGTCCATAAACAGTTGTCTTTTGTAGAAAAGACAACAGTTTCAAACTGTTGTCTATTGTAAAATAGAAAACCAACGGTTTTTAATCGTTTTTAACCTGCTTAAATTTTAATCATATAAAAAATCAATTTATCCATTCACCATGGCCAGGTGTAGTTACATAATTTTGCACAAGCTAAGGTTTAAAATACAAAAGAACTAATTAGCAAGTCTAAATACTTCCATGACCAATTCTAATCGAATCATATATCATCCAAGTCATAATACTACAAAAAACAATTCCACTAACCAAGTCTAAATGATCACAACGTTCTAATGATCAAATCATACCTACTCTATATAACGTTCCACTCTTTTGCAAATGTCTCTTTTGCTGGCTCCAATCTGCCAGAACAAAGAAAATGATTCTATTATTTACATGTATGCTTGTACAAAGAGGAGGGTAAATTGATATAGAGACCTCCAAATTCCAGAATAAATTTTAAAAGATAATAATAATAAGTAAAAGGTAAAGAAGGGTAGATGGAGCTGAAACATGCCTTCATTGTGCATTTGGCATTCTGCACAATGCACCTTACTCTGCTCACTGTTAACATCAATGCTTTTTTGGATACAATTTCTTGAATCTCTTTCTCCCCCATTTTGGCCACATTCTTTACATTAAACCCACCAAAAGTTTCTCTGTATTGTTGATATATATGACAAAGTCCAAACTAAAATATAATGATTATATTTTCACACAACAAAAGAATAGTCGTACGTAGAATGAAACAAGTAGTGTTTTGTCTCCTTAAATGTTAGTTACCTGAGTAGTTCTCTCCTTTTCAAAATTTGAGTCCAGTTGAAATCCATCAACATGCCACACAGTGCAAGCAGCTCAAACAATTGACTGTACATTCACAAAAATTAACAAAAAGCAACATCATCTCCTTTCTGTTTATATTTTCAGAGCAAACCTAACATACAGTTACTATTAGAATTAATAATACAGTTTATATTAATACAGTTACTGTTAGAATTAACAAAAAGCAACATCATCTACTGTTCTCATCCTAACAAAAAGCAACATCATCTCCTTGTGTCCAATTATTATTCATTTTAGAAAAAAATAAATTTAAGTTTAAAATGAATTTAGGGGCAGGGGTATTTATTTATTAAAATTAAAATTTTAAACAATTTTTAAAATGTTCAAATCACTTATTTTTCCACCATTCAAAATAAGTTTCTTAGAGTAAGTACCCTTCCTTGCAATATCATGACAAATTTAAAGGACTTCATCAGTTTGAAGGAACTAGACATTAGCTTCAACAAATTTAATAACAGCATATTCCCTAATTCACAGAAATTTTGCAGAAATTCAAGCCCTAATTCCCCAACCCTAGCTTAAATACAAAATTGTTTAAATACAACCGCATCATCTACATCAAAGTTGCAGCTTACACCAAATTCTTCTTTTATTAGTTCTTCACAGCGTAGATCAAGATCCTGAGATGACCATCATTCAAAGTTTCAGGTCATACTTCAATTTTTATGCAACATTTAGAGTAACATTTTTTTTCCAAGAGTTACTTTTCTCCAACTTTTGCCTAAATATCGAAGACAAACCCTGTCTCAAAGCATTTGAAATTGGGCATTCACACCTATTCCTATTCTCAATTTTCAGTTACTCTAGAGAAACAATAACATAAATACACTCTGAAATCCGTACTTATTTACTTGAAACATGTCGGTCAGCTACATGTAAATTGAACTATGGAAAAAATATAAAGAAAGGTACTTTTTAAGGATTTATTTATTCTTATTTTATGGGGTTTAAGTTACTCGAGGTAAATATAATCATGTAAGGAAAGAACAGAAAAAAAAAGAAGATACCTGCAAGGTAGATTTCCCCTGCTCCATCAATATGAAGAATGAGATTATAACCTCCTTTACCTGTGCATTTGAAACATGATATTATTAAATTTACTAGTATAAACTTAGATCCTCGCAGTTGGCAACCTAGTCATCTAAGTGGAAAAAAACAAATAATAGAAAAGGAAGATTAACAAAATGTGAAAAAAGAATAAAAGGTAGAAGAAGTTCAGCGTTGCAACATACTTCTTGTTGAATCACGTCATCACACAAGTGGAGTAGAGTGCCCCTTCCAGTATCTAGTTGTTTGTCATACTGTTAGGAATAAAGTGTAATGATTTTGATATGCCAAATTTGTATTTGTAGATCCCCCAATTTTATTTATAGGTCTAGTAGAGTCTTAAGACCATGATCGGGAAATTATTTAAATTGGAAAAGAGAAAAACAGAGGAAGATGCATGAAAATAGAAGAAGAAGATATAAAGCCTAAAATCAAGAATTTGTCTGGAGAAAATGACAAATTGAAAAAGAAGATGAATGATATGAAATCACGTCAATGCTACTCAAAGAAGATATCCCAGAAGAATTTTCGTGAAGAAAATTAATATTGGAAAAATTCATGAAATTGACTTGGAGATCAAGCATCTATGAAAAGAAAGGAGTACATCAAATGTGATTGGAAATTTAATCAAAAGCTGTACAGACGAAGTGGATGATGCTTGATATATTATGCAAAATGGCTCAAGTTTGAAACTCACCATCAATAATTTTACAAGGTAAAATTTGAGAAGCCGAATTAAATTAATCTGATGGAGTTGGGCGCTAGTTTAAGCTTTGGCGGTAAAATTTGAGAAGCCGAATTAAATTAATCTGATGGAGTTGGGCGCTAGTTTAAGCTTTGGGCGCCGATTACAAGTGAAAATTGGGAAGCAATTTCACTTGGGTGGCAATTGAGATGCAATTGCACTTGGGAGCCAATTCAAGGGAATTGGGAGCCGATTCATTAAATTAATCTGATGGAGTTGGGCGCCGATTACAAGTGAAAATTGGGAAGCAATTTCACTTGGGTGGCAATTGAGATGCAATTGCACTTGGGAGCCAATTCAAAGGAATTGGGAGCCGATTTCATAGCAATTGAAATTGGGAGTTGGGAGCCAGTTTCAGAGAAATTGAAACCAATTGAAATTGGGAGCAAGTTTCACATGGGAATCAATTCAAGATGGGAGCCAATGTAGAATTGAAATTGGGAACCAATTGAGGTCGTAGTATGGGATGCAATTTCAAAGTTGGGGATTGATTCAAAGAAGACATGGAGATCAAATTGAATTGAGATGAAATTCAATACCAGGAGAAGTCTGGGAGCCAATTTCGAAGTCAAAAGTCAACAAATCAAATTGGGAAGCAATTGAAAGCACTAGGAGCAGTTTGGGAGCCAATTGCAAGTCAAAGTCAATTGGGAGCCAATTACAATGGAGAAATCCAATTGCAAGTCAAAGTCAATTGGGAGCCAATTACAATGGAGAAATTCAAATTGGGTGCCAATTACAAGCCAATTGAAATTGGGTGTCAATTACAAAGGAGAAATTCAAATTGGGTGGAAGTTCACAACCAATTTGAAGTCTGAAAACACCCAGACGTGAGAATGAAGAAGATGAAGATGAACTTATAGTGAAAATATTCTCGCAAGGAAAAATACTAGTTTTAACTAGTATGGGATTAAATTGATGAATATTTTTAAATCCCAAAGATACAAGAACCACTTGAGAGCTAATCACAGAAGCCGTTCTACACCCAGATATTCCCACTCAACGTAAAACCAGAGGAAATATCATATGAAGTTTGGGAACCCATTTACATGGAGATGAAGCTCTAACAACGGCTAGCTTATCCTTTCTGACATCTTTGCAGAAGATAAGATAAGATCTCTGACAAAAAGATACAAGATTTCAAAAATGAGAGCGTCTCTTTCCAACGGACAGATTCTCATTACCAGCTATAAAATGATGAAGATATGAAGACTTGAAGAAGAGTGAAGAGCAATAGAGCAGTTGAGAAAACTCACGAACAAGAGAGCAGAAAATTCGAATCCATAAAAGGGATCGAATAGAGCAATTAAGCTTGAAAGAGCATAGAGCAAAAATCTCATTTGGTACAGAGCATACCAAAAATCTTCAAGTGAGAAGTGAGAAAAGAAAAAGAACTCAGAGAGCTTCAAAGAAAAATATTCAGAGAGTTCTTAAACAGAGCAAAGCAGAGCAAAAATATCAAGTGCTTTACTTGATATATTCAAAGAGAGAAAACACCCAGAGCTATCAAGAGAAATCATTCCAGAGTGTTTATCTTCATCAAAGAGACCTGCGCATCATTGAAGATCATCTACAGAGTCTCAGAAGTTGGAAGCAAGACAACACTTGTTTTGGAGCAAAACAAGAGAAGGGAGGAAAGTAGCACGGAGCTGTGAAATCCTGGATTGTCACACGGAGCTGTGAGATCCGAAGCAGCAGTGTCGGAGGCACTGGGCGTGATTGGTGTGGGCTTGGTGATCAAAGCACCAGATCACGGGATACGTTTCTACCGGAGTGTGGAAGACGGGGGAAAAGTAACGCGGAGTCGTGAAATCCTGGGATAGTAGCGCGGCGACGTGAAACCCGAAGCAGCAGTGTGGTGTCACTGGGCGTGATTAGTGCGGGCTTTGTGATCAAAGCACTAGATCACGGAAATTCATTGTATCTTGGAACCAAGAAGTGGTAGATATAGTGAATTGCTCTTGGAGATAAGAGCAAGTGGAGTAGGAGGATTACACCACCTCGCGAACCACTATAATTGTCTTGTGTTCTTTACTGCTTTCTTTACTTACCGCTCTTTACATATTTGCTCTACACGAGATATACTGCTCACACAATCTCACACACACTTTATGTTTATTTATTTCCGCTGTGCACCATACTCTAACAATCTAGTTAAGAGTTTTGGTTTATCTCTGGCTTAGCAATTGTTGTGCTGTGCGAAAAAGTTTGAAAGTCTATTCACCCCCCTCCCCTCTAAACTTTCACCTTACCTCTTTTGGGACCAACAATTGGTATCAGAGCAGGTGCCTATCCGAGTCAGAATTTGTCTCTAACTGATACCAACAATTGGTATCAGAGCCTGTAACCTATTTGAGTCAGTTTATACCAACCTTTGGTATTAAAACACGTTGCCTAACCGGGTTAACTGTTTTTGACTGCTAGGCTGATCTATTCTACAAAGTGTGTGAATTGGATTAATCTTTCATATCTCTCGTGATGATGGTGAAGAAAGATTTAGCTCAAAATCTATTATTCTCACTTGATAAATTTGATGATTGGAAAGTTTGTATGCAGGTACACTTATCGGCCTTACACGATGAAATGTGGGAAGTTATTTCCACTGGCCCTATAGAAATATTAAAAATCAATAGGCGTTTGTTATATCCCCGGATGCTCCACAGTACGTACAAAAGCCAAAACCGGAATGGACATCGGACGATAAAACGCGGAATAATCTTGACAATATTGCCAAGGTTATTCTATTCAAAGCTGTTGATGATACAATATTTCCGAAGATCCGAAAGTGTGCCACTGCCAAAGAAATATGGGAAACTCTCATCAAGATTGGCGAAGGAGATGAACAAGAAAAAGACAATAAGCTCACAATCGCCATGAAGAAGTTTGAAGATTTCAAAATGCTCTCAAATGAAAGTGTTGCAGACATGGAAGCTCGAATGATCAAAGTTCTTGGAGAGATTAGTGATCTTGGCAAAAATATTAGCCAAAAAGAAATTAATCTCAAAATTCTACGAGGCTTACCATCTGCATGGGATATGAAGGTTACGGCTATGCGCGATCACCGAGATCTAAGAATGTTGTCAACAGACAAATTATTTAGTGATCTAAAAGCATATGAGTTCGAAATGAAGGCCAAAGATGATGATGTACATGAAGCTCAAAATGCTGCTCTAATGGCCGAACAACCGTCAACCTCCAGGTCAGTAGAAAATAATGTTGATTTTATGACTGACGAACAGTTTGCTCTTTTTGTGAAAAGATTTAAAAGGTTTATGCGAAAAAGAGACAACAAAAATTCTGTTCGTGGAAAATTCATCTCTCGCATAACACAAGAAGAAAAAGTTGAAGAAAATAAGGATTTGTGCTACAATTGCCGCAAACCCGGACATTTTAAAATAAATTGTCCGTATCCGATCGTTAGCAAGTATCAAGGCAAAAATGTTGAATCTACGCCGAACAAATCCAAAAGCAAAAGGTTCAAGCGCGACAAAAGAAAATCTCTCGTTAGCAACGAACCAAACGAAAATGATGATTCGGAGGATTCATCATCAAGCGATGAAAGTTCATGTTCGGATGATGATACGGCGCTAATATGCAAGTCAATTGAGTTGAGTACAAGTGAAGATTGTCTTATGGCTCTTGACGCAGAGGAAGAAGAGGTAACATCTAATTCTTTCAATTCTGTTAATTCTTCTTTTTCTCGTGAATCTATTGACAATCTAATGCGAGAATGTCAAGAGATTATGCTCACTCATCCTCAACTCAAGGAGCGCAATAATATTCTAATTCTTGAAAAAGAAGAAATGAATAAAAATTTGCAAAATGCTTTACTTGAAGTGAGTAAATTGAAGAATGAAAATATTCATCTTCAAGAAGAGTGTAAAGCTAGAGAGGTTAGAGAACATAATCTTAGAGCTACTATTGCTATGTTCACTAATTCGTCTAAAATTATAGATAAAATGGTGAGCATGCAAAAGCCATCAGGAGATAGAACCGGAATTGGTTATGACTCCACATGTTCTCAAACCCCTCAAAATCTGACTAATTCTACTACTACTTTAAATAATAAAGTTCAAGTGGTAAAATTTGTTAAAAGTCAGAATAGCACGATGAGACAAGGACTTGGCTATCAAACAAAAGCAAAATTGAATGTTGAAAGGCCGAAACAATTCAACTATACGGCAAAGCAACAAAATTTCTTCAAGCAAAGATATGCCAAAGAGTCAAGTGCAAAAAGATTTCATAGAAAAGAGGGAAGCTTTTCTAGAAATAAAGTTGGGAAATTTCATCCCACTCAAAAAGATTGGTTGTGCAATAGATGTAATACTTTTTATAGACCAAAGCAACCATTCTCTTCCCAGGTGCCAAAATATAAAAATAATTTTCAAAACCCGGCGCCAAAAATATTTTCTAATGTGAGTTATGATTATCGTGTCTCTAATGGTTACAAATCGCCTCATCTTAATTCAATAAGATCAAGGTGGGTTTGGTTACCAAAAATCAC